ACATCAAAGTGACATTGGGGACATCATTGGGGACAGCCCCAGCAGGGCCAGCACGGGGGCACAGTGCTTCTGCGGGGACATTGGGGACATCAAAGGGACATTGGGGACATTGGGGACGTCATTTGGGACATTGGGGACATCACTGGGGACAGCCCCAGCAGGGCCAGCACTGAGGCACAGTGCTTCTGCGGGGACATTGGGGACATCAAAGGGACATTGGGGACATCAAAGTGACATTGGGGACATTGGGGACATCACTGGGTACAGCCCCAGCAGGGCCAGCACGGGGGCACAGTGCTTCTGCGGGGACATCAAAGTGACATTGGGGACATTGGGGACATCATTTGGGACAGCCCCAGCAGGGCCAGCACGGGGGCACAGTGCTGCTGTGGGGACATTGGGGACATTGGGGACATCAAAGTGACATTGGGGACATTGGGGACATCACTGGGTACAGCCCCAGCAGGGCCAGCACTGAGGCACAGTGCTGCTGTGGGGACATTGGGGACATCAAAGTGACACTGGGGACATCACTGGGGACATTGGGGTGATTCGGGACACTGTCCCCCATGTCCTCAATGTCCCCAGTGTCCGCAGTGTCCCCAGTGTCCCCAATGTCCCCAGGGTGTCCCCAATGTCCCCAGTGTCCCCGTGGCTCACCAGCAGCAGGCTCTGCACGTGGTCGGCGCCGATGCGGTCGATGGTGCTCACCACCGGCCCTTCCAGAATGTTCCGCACGCGCTCGCCCTCGGCCGGCAGCCGCGGCAGGATCAGGGTCTTGATCACCTGGGGACAGCGGGGACAGTGGGGACATCGGGGACAGTGGGGACAGTGGGGACATTGGGGACATCGGGGACAGTGGGGACATCGGGGACAGTGGGGACATTGGGGGGGATTGGGGACATTGGGGACATTGGGGACACTGGGGACACTGGGGACATCAACGGGGACATTGGGGACACTGGGGACATTGGGGGGACTGGGGACATTAGGGACATGACACAGGTGACACGGGTGACACAGGTGACAGGAAGGACTCGGCAGTGACACTAAGGTGTCACAGGAGGTGCCTGGAGGTGCCCCAAGATGTCCCCAGGTGTGTCCCCCAGCTGTCCCCAGTGTCCCCAAGCTGTCCCCAGGGTGTCCCCAGATGTCCCAGCTGTTCCCCAGTGTCCCCAAGGTGTCCCCAGGGTGTCCCCAGGTGTCCCCAGGTGTCCCCAGCTGTCCCCTGGTGTCCCAGCTGTCCCCAGCTGTCCCCAGCTGTCCCCAAGCTGTCCCCAGGTGTGTCCCAGCTGTCCCCAGGGTGTCCCCAGGTGTGTCCCAGGTGTCCCCATGGTGTCCCCAGCTGTCCCCAAGCTGTCCCCAGGTGTGTCCCAGCTGTCCCCAGGGTGTCCCCAGGGTGTCCCCAGGTGTCCCCAAGCTGTCCCCAGGTGTCCCCAGGTGTGTCCCAGGTGTCCCCAAGCTGTCCCCAGGTGTCCCCAGGTGTGTCCCAGCTGTCCCCAGGTGTCCCCAGGTGTCCCCAGGGTGTCCCCAGGTGTCCCCAGCTGTCCCCAGGGTGTCCCAGGTGTGTCCCAGCTGTCCCCAGGTGTCCCCAGGGTGTCCCCAGGTTGTCCCCAGCTGTCCCCAGGGTATCCCCAGCTGTCCCCCAGTGTCCCCAGGTGTCCCAGGTGTCCCCGGTGTCACTCACGTCGTGGCCCAGCTCGGCCAGCCCCGCGATGGATCCGTAGCGCGTGGTCCAGGGCGTCTTGTCATCCACCCAGCTCTGGGGACACAGCCCGGGCCTGAGTCCCGACCCCAAATCTGACCCCAAATCCCGAATCC